AAAAGTAAGGTTGAAGTTATTTTTCTGGTTGTATTGGCAGAAGTTACTATAGATGGCCATTTTAGCTATTTTTACATACAATTTTTTCTTTATTTTATTAGTAAAATATATTTTAAAAATAATTTTTTCTTAAATCTGCAAAATCAGCCAATGTAGTCACTTCAGCCAGAACTTCATAAATTTTAGCAGAATCAGCCGATTTTCATTCTACCAAACGGGCTCTCAATTTGTTTTGCAAAGTCTGAGTGGAACAAGAATTAAGTTATGTTTGACAATACATGAAGCTTATTATTTACGGAGTACTATTTTACCAATCTTTCAAACAGTAGACTTATTTAAGTTAACGTAAAAAGTTAAAAGTAAAGGTAACTTTGTCACTTTATACATATCTAAAATAGAAATTGGAAAATGTTTTGGGACAATAAAATTATATATTATATTTTGTGAATCAAATTGGAATGGTAATAATCAATATGGATATAGTGGGTGACGATAGGCATGAACCTGGTCTGGAACCGGGTCCAGTACTGTTTGGGTCCCGAACGGGTCTGCTTTTCCAGCACTGGATTGACCTTGTTCACCCATAATGTGTAACCAATCCCGATTCACATATTTTGGGACCGAAGTGGGCAATCCCGATCTTGGTTTCGGTCCCGTCGAACAAAATTAAGTTCTGTGTTCGACTTTACGGGTCACGAAATTATGCGTTGGACTACACTAGGGGCGGCAATACTTGCACTGGCACTGCTGCCGCCCATTGACCATGTGGTGATTGGAGTAGCTACACTATCAGAATTGTTGGGGGCCGAAGATATTTCCGATCGGCAGATTCAGAAGTTAATTTCTCGTTGTGGTTGACTTTTTTGGAGTTTATAGACCGGAAGGCAGCAAGTTATTGTCTTCCGTCCATGTGTGGCTCATTTGTTTGGAAAATGCTGCGTTCGGGTGGCTGGTTTGGGAGGCCAGGATGAAGCGCGAGTTGGGTAAGCAAAAAATTTGATTTGGGCGGGTTCTATTCTACAGACCCCCCCCCCGCCTAGAAGCATGGATTTAGTTAGAAAGTTCCCCAATAGGATTAAAACAGTTTGAAAATTCCAAAATAGGACTGACATGTTTTTTGTTCCCAAAATAGAAGTAATTACTCTCAAGTTTGGAAAATACTGCCATGTTTGAAGTTTGATACTGTCAAAACATGACAATAATTAATCCTATTTTGTGAATATAAACATGACAGTCCTATTTTGGAATTTTCAAACCTTTTTAGTCCTATTTGGGGTAATATCTCATTTAGTTATTAATTTGTTAGTTACAATGTTTATGTCATTCGAGTCGGACTTTATTTTGGTTATCTTCATTTTAGTTGTTAGAAGTCAGGTTCAAATCCTAGTCAACCATGAAGAATTTAATTATACCACACTTGGCTAACAAGTGCATGTGTTAGGATATGCAAGTTATATAGCTCTTTTGTGAGTGATTGATTCTAAGTTTGATCCAAAAGATGAAAATGAGGTCTTGATACAATGTCCCCGGTTTCTTGTGTGAATAAATATGAATGCAATGATTTTTTTCCTAACGTAGCTAGCTATTCGTACCGTATTCATGATAATTATAATTATAATTAAAATGCGAGATAATGATTTTGACTTGTAACACCGAGATTCCTCGAGTGACACTTGTTTGATTATTGAAAGAATGACGGCAATAGTATTACCCAGGTTTCGGTAGACAAAAATAGGACCCGGATTTCATTTTGATAAAAAAGAGATTAAACTAAAGTTAAAAGTCTGATTTATCCCTGAAGCTTAGAGGATTAGCCGATAATAACTCCATCTTCCTCCCACGCATATCTACAGCAGCTTCTCCTCCGTGGCCGATACCTCATCTTCCTGACCGGCACTGCCTCCACGCCCATAGTCCCATCTCCATTATCGCCGCCGCCGTAGTCTACTTCACCGTCGTTCCGCCACCCAACACTTTTCTTCCTCTACTCTTTCTTTCTAATGGCAAACAGGTTCAAATCTAGCTAGATCTAGGAAAATCTTAAAGAAGGAGGTGAATTCATGGGAGGAAAATCACTCCCAGCGGCGGCGAATTTGAGCAGCGATGATGGGAGGTGGAGATGACTGCTACACCTTCGTTGATGGCTAGAGTTTTTGGGTAGGGTGGGCGACGGGGTTGGCCGCTGGGATGGGGCTGGGTCTTAGCGACGGAGACTTCGATTTTTAGATCTGCGGCTGGAGTATAATGATGGCGGCGGCTAGGTAATTAGCGGACGAAGACGGGAGGGGAAAAATGGTTGGTGGAGGTGGCGACCGGCGAGCCTGGCTGCTGGAACAGGGGAGGAGTCAAACAAGGTCCTTGGTAAGGAGCTGCGCAGTTGCCGCTGTGGGTGGGGTGTGGCTATAGAATGCGATTCTGCAGGGGTTGGAGCTGCGGGTTGGTACTGGGGAGGGGTCTGCTGGGTTGGGGCCTGGGGGTTGGGTTTGGTCACTGGTGAATTTTGGATTTTTTGTCACTAATGATTTTTTGTCACTGACGAATTTTGGTCACTGGTGAATTTTGGATTTTTGGTCACTAATGATTTTTGGTCACTGGACGTTGGTAACTGGACGGACGAACGTTGGTCACTGGTCGAGGTTGATTACTTGACGACATTTTTGGTCACTATTAATTTTGGTCACTGACAGATTTTGAATTTTTGGTCACTAATAATTTTTTGTCACTGGAGGATTTTGGTCACTGACGGATTTTTGGATTTTTTGTCACAAATGATTTTTGGTCACTGGGTGGATTGGTCATGGTCACTAGTCAGATTGGTCACTGGATGGGTTGACGTTGGTAACTAGGTAAAATTTTTGGTCACTGATGATTTTGGTCACTGACGGTTTTTTGGATTTTTGGTCACAAATGATTTTTGGTCACTAGATGGATTGGTCATGGTCACTAGTCAGATTGGTCACTGGACGGGTTGACGTTGGTAACTAGGTAAAAATTTTGGTCACTAATGATTTTGGTCACTGACGGTTTTTTGGATTTTTGGTCACAAATGATTTTTGGTCACTAGATGGATTGGTCATGGTCACTAGTCAGATTGGTCACTGGACAGGTTGACGTTGGTAACTAGGTAGAATTTTTTGTCACTAATGATTTTGGTCACTGACGGATTTTTGGATTTTTGGTCACAAATGATTTTTGGTCAGTGACGAATTTTGGTCACGATAATGGTTTTGGTCACTGTGGCGTTATCGTAGACTAATGGGTGAGATTCTATTAAAATAAGGGTATAATAGTCTCTTAACCCATAGTTAGTCTCATTTTTGTAAAATTGAAATAAAGGTCTTTTTTTTGTTCATAGCTCTTTTTTTAGTATTATTTTAGACATAACCCCTTGATTATTTCAATTTTGAGAAAAGGTTAAATGTAGGCCTCTTAATATTATCAGTGCATTTATCCATGCATCTCTTAAAAACTTTAAACACAAAAGCAAACATAATACGATAGTATTTCTCCAAGCCAAATGTGGTCGATCATGACAGTATCCACGTCATATATTTTTGACCACCAGCGACAAAGGCTGATTAATATCACACTCCATCCACTTTTAATTATGTTACTTTCAGTTTACGAAAGTTTCATTTGTTGTCATTTGTTTATGCTTTTTCGTTTTTCATACACGTTATGTAGTTATATGGTTGTAACGTTATATACTTTCAATACATTCCTTTTTAACAACTTTTCCAATTGTTATTTTAACTTTTTCATCATTCTATCATATTTTCCATAACTCTTCCACTTTGAAAGATTTTTTGTATTATGCCTTCCACTACCATTTCAATTCAATTTCAGCGAATGATGTGAAGTTATCATGCTACAAGTCTGTTGTCTACAACCATTTAAAAACAAAGACAGTACCTTTTTTATATTTCATACTTCCTTGTATTTTTATTGGAGTTGACTGACACATAAAATATTAATGTTAAAATTGTGTAGTTAAAGTTTATGTATATGAGAAATTGAGAGACAAAAGAGTCACACATTCTTTATTTCAAATGAAAAAATGATAAAGTTAGTGAGACAATAAAAAAGGGAATATTGGATGAAGTTAGAAAAGACACCCGATACATTATTTATGAAAGAGTTTGGTCCAATTCATTATAAAAAAGAAGGAAATGGGTTTTGGACTCAATTGATTTACGAATTGAGAGTTTTCTCAAAACAAGAGTTTATGAAATGAACCATGTTACGAAATTTGTGTTAAATTGAGATTGAATGATCCAAACCACTGATTCAAGTTGCATTGGATACATTTCGCAAATATCTACATTTCCTTGTGTATTAGAGTTGTGTCTAATTGACCATCAGTCTTATAAGTCATTTTCAAATCCTGTTTGGTATGAAGTAACATAATAATTCAAAAGGAATGTATATTAACATAAACTTTGTAAAATGTGAACAAATATAAATGAGTAAGTAGTATAAGACACATTTACGACAAAGATAAAGAACATTTTTGGCATTCTGAAGTAAACAAATATCATACAGAGTATTATGTTAGCCGGTTGTCAATAGCGGATTCAGTGAGCGAATTTGACTAGCGGAATAAGTTGGCGGGTTATCACAATATGTTTGTTATTTAGATGTTTGGTCATAAAATTTGTAAAATATGTCAATCCAAAACTCTCATATTAGCAGCGTTTCCATCAAAAAAACGCTATACCGAACATCTATTTCCTGAACAGTTATTTACCAAATAATTTTTTCACTTATTATTAAAAAAGCTAAAAGTGGTCAAATCACCATTTTTGATTGAAAGACCATCTATCAAATACCCGAGAAACGAATTTGTCATTTTAATAATTACACTGTGTTTGGATTTACAAGTATTTTCAATCTTATCCTTGGGATAAAAGTCCATAACTTTCTTGAAGGTTGGAACTTGCGAGGGCTGAGCTGGGGGTTGGGACGGTGGGGGTGGGGTGGGGGTGGGGGGTGGGAGTAGGGGTGGGGTGTGTGTTTTTACTCGTAATACGCATTAAGTTTCCCATCGGACAGCAAAAAAGTATTTGTAACTTTCTGCCATGAAGGGTCCCTAGTTTCTTTCTCCTTCCCGCTACTATCTCTCTCTATCTTCGCTTCTGCACACCCAAATTATCCCCCACAGCAGCCTATAATCATCTCCTTCTTCCTTCTCGCTTTACCCCCAGAACTTGGTTCAGAAGCTTCGTTTGCAGGTATAAATTTTGTGCTTTGCTTCACCAATTCCATTCCTGCTCATTATTCTTGGTGGTACTTGTTATTATTATTTGCCCCCCCATAAAAAGTCTACTTTTACGCCTTTTTATGCGTTTATTCGTGTATCTGCGTGAATATCTTCTTTACAGTCCCTTTTTTCTGAAGCTATACATGTTGCATTTGCGGACCATTTTCTTCTCTCTGATTCTATTGTATAGATCTATATACTTTTTTTGTGGGTTTTGCTTTCATTTTATATAAATTTTATTTCTATGAGCTGGTTAGTTCGTCTGAAGACTCGAATTTGCTACCTGTTTCTTTTGGTGTCCTTGAAATAGTTGAATTATTCTATTATCGGAGTGTAATTTTCTTGTTATCTCATTTCCTTTTTTGGGGAGCATGAGATTCTAGTGTTCAATTTGATGATTTTTCCTTGAGTTCTTCCTCCAAGTGATTCTCTGGAGCTTTGAACTTTGTAGGTGCAAAAGAGTTTGAGATTATTCAGTTGGGGTGATGTCTCCGCCACTGCTTGGTATTGGGGAGGACGAAGGCCAAAGTAATGTTAATCTGATGGCTTCTCCGATCTCTTTAGACAGTTTAGGGCAGAATGGAGCTGAGCTGAAAGAGTGGAACTATATGGGACTGTCTGACTGTTCATCTGTGGATAGTTCCACCATATCCACCACATCAGAGAATAGTAGTGCCTGTGGACTGACTTTGAGGGCAACTGAGTTAAGACTTGGACTTCCTGGCTCACAATCTCCTGTTAGGGATGTCGAGCTTAGCCCGCTGAGCTCGACTAAGCTTGACGAGAAGCTGCTTTTCCCACTTTGCCCTTCCAATGAAAACAACTTCATTCTATCACAGAAGACTGTAGTTTCTGGAAATAAAAGAGGGTTTTCTGATGCTATGGACGGTTTCTCAGAGGTGAATTTTGTTTTCCGGTCAATAGTATCACTCTTTCTGACAAATTTCTTCTGACTGTAGATACTGTAATTGTTAGCAGGAAAAGTTTCTCTCTTGTTCAAGTGTCAAAACCGGTTCAGTGAAAGAGAACCAAGGCTCGCAACAGGCTAAAATCAAAGAGGGGCCAACCCCAAACACAATGCTGGAGAGGCCTCGAGCTAAAGATGAGAACATTCAAAACCAAGGTGGAGGTAGTGCTCCTGCTACAAAGTGAGTGATGATATCTTCCAGACTAGGAGCCCGTTTGATAGCCAAAAGTGCTCACCAAATGGGCTCTAGATATTTGTGTTCTAAATTGTCATTGTGTGACCAACTTATTTGGGTATTCATTTTGCTAGCAGAGCTCAGGTTGTTGGTTGGCCACCAATTAGATCTTACAGGAAGAACACAATAGCATCTGCCTCAAAGAACATTGAAGAAGTTGACGGTAAAGCAGGATCAGGTGCCCTTTTTATTAAGGTCAGCATGGATGGTGCTCCTTATCTGAGGAAAGTGGATCTCAGAATGTATTCTGCTTACCAGGAACTCTCATCTGCTCTTGAAAAGATGTTCAGCTGTTTTACCATTGGTGAGATTTTACTTACTTCAACTTTTAGTTGAATAAATTGTCACAAATCGGCAGTCGGCTTGAAGTGTATTTCTTTTTTAAGATACATGTATGTTTCGAGTTACTTGGATATTCGTTCGTTGCCAGGTCAATATGGAGCTCATGGAGCACCAGGAAAAGAGATTTTAAGCGAGACTAAGTTGAAGGATTTGATTCATGGATCTGAATATGTCCTAACTTATGAGGATAAGGATGGTGATTGGATGCTTGTTGGTGATGTTCCTTGGGAGTAAGTTCCTCTGTTGTGGCTTTATTTACTCTGTAGTTATTTGTTAATTGAAAATCAACCTATAGTTGTTTTTTATTATTGACATTTAAATCTGCCATTCACCATTCTTCTTTTATTTCCTTGTTTGAAATAATACTGAACATTAATGAGTACCATCCCTTACTTTTACAGTTGTACATTTTTAATTTTTTCTGAGATCTACATTTAAGTGCCGCACCTTGAAAGATACTGTGAAACCATAAAATGAGTTTAACTGTTTAAGCACAAACTCTCGGTCTTATTGTTTAGTGGAAGAAGGCATACATACATGATACATCTATACGATTTCTTTTCATTTTGATGTATGTGACTGTTTACTCCTCCCAAAGAAAAAGTAAAAATAACCGAGACTAAAAAGAATACTCCTTAATTAAACCAAATGCCACAGGCACCTTTGTATTATCCAATATCCATATTGGGCTCCTGTTGCTTGTAATAGTCTAACCTACATTTGGTCCTTTACATTCCTCCCACATTCCAAAAGCCAATTTCCAAATGAAAAAAGCTACTCATTGAGGGTGGGGAATTATATTAAGGGGTCCAAATGTTACAGGACTGTATTGATCTTTATGAACATGTTTTCAGTGCTTTTCTGATGAGAACCAAAAAAGAACATTATGTTTTGTAAACTTACCCTCTCCATTGAATTTTACTCATACAATTTCCCCTATCCTCCTGAGTGTGGCGGGAATTATTCCCTAATCTGGCATTCCGATTGCTACAGTCCAGATTCTGAGCTATGTTGCACAAAGATGTGAAAATCACTATGAAATGGGAAATGGGAAATATCATCCTCTAGTTGAAAAACAATTGTTTAGAGAGTTTCCAGATAGGTCCCATAGAGTTTCCGAAACAGAAACATACTCTTTCCCTTTCCCAAGGGTTTCCGTGCTTCGTAGAGTCAGAGTAGCCGTGAATTTGTTTGATTCCGACTAAGTCGGGGTCGGGGTTGATTTTCAAAACTTAGGATATCTCAACTGTAGTGATAGAACCAAGTTTTTCCCCCATAAAAGTAGTGATCCTTACTATACACATCTATATACACATTGTATATGTAAGTGTATAACTTATTATTTTCTCAATAACTGTGCATGTATCTTTGGGTCCCAAATTAGTTCACATTTTGACTTATGGATTTAAGAATCATTAACTTTGATCTGCAACTATTCTAAAGTACTACCTCCATCCCAAATTGATTTGCAAAGTCAACTTTTTTTGGTCAAACAGTTTCATTTTATTCACTTAATTAGGATATCAATTTTTAATTATATTCTTTATTTGGATTTCACAATTCTATAGAGATTTTAATGTAGTTTCTAAATATATACGTAGTAAATTTTATCTTTTAAAATTTGAATTAATTATCAATAGGGAGGATTTAACTTTAATCTTAGTTGACCAAAAATTGTTGACTTTGCAAATCATTTGGGGAAGGAGAAGTATATTAATTTAAAGTTTTATAAATAAAAATATTCTAGAATAATTCTCTTTGACACACACATGTTTTATATATGCGTGTGTATACTGTATATATATACTACAGTAATAATATACACTTTAAAAGTATACAATGGTAAATAGTAGTGGTCAAAGATCGAGGTTGGGGATCGTAAAAGTCAAATTTAGAACTTTAGCGAGGGACTAATGTAAGTCTTCCTCTGTCCTAAGGTTAACCTCCTTTCTAAGGTTAACTCGCTCTCAATGTCGGTTTTATTTATCAAACATTATCATATTTGAATTACGTTTTGATTTGTGATTATATACATTAATCTTTTATCACCTTCTGATTCAGTATGGCATTATTAATACCAATTTAAGTATTATCAAGTAATTCTAATATATATGGAGTATCAATAGAACTTTTAGTTGAGTTTCTAAAAAAATAAAGTTTAATCATTAATACCAATTTGAGTTTTATCAAGTAAGAATTGAAATCATTAAACTGAAAGTCTGAAACTAGAACTTGTTTTCATGACGGAGGGAGTATTATGTTCAAGATTTCATTGTTCAGATTTATCAGGTTTTGAGATCAAGATTCTGACGTATCTGGGATTTTATTGTTGACTTTCTGACTCAATTTGGACGGGATTCATGATCTTTTTTAGTTTATACTTTATAATCAGTTTTTTTAATCAAGAACGGGATCACACCCCTAGTTTACTTGGCAGTGATGATGACATCCATGATGCACTGCTACATTCATTGTATGCTTTTTCCATGTATGTGTAAATTCCATACTTGCTATTTTTTATACTTGGGCACTCAAACGAACCAAACATTAAATAGAAGGGTTGTATCATCCCGTGTTCATGTATTGGCATAGATGTATAATTGCTTGTATCTCTTGCAACATATGTGGCTCCAACCTAAAGTTTGTCACTGTTCCAATTTGCTGAGCTGTCAGCCAGTTACCACAACTGAGTTGTGTATTCTACATGTACAGTTTAGTATATTTCTCTTTATTATTCTTACTTCCTATTTATCTAGGCACGAGACGTGTCAATATTTCACTGCATGACTTGCTTTAACACTATTTAGCAGGTCACATGAGGTGCATGTTCCTAAGTAAGTAATGTTTTTATATGGCAGGATGTTCATTGATACATGTAAGAGGCTGAGAATCATGAAGAGCTCTGATGCCATTGGATTGGGTGAGTGGTTTTAATACTGTTCAATAATCTTTTGAATTATTATAATGTGTTATGGCAAGTAAGAAAAGAAAATGTACTATGCATGTGACAATATAGCTGAAAGGGAAATTACATTTGTACACGCACATGTGTACACGGTTTGTATATGCCCCCTATATTTTGTAGGTAGCAGTAAGCACAAACAATTTGTCTTAAATATGCACAAGTTGTCTATGACACAGACAATATATGGGCGTATACAAATTGGCGTACACCAAGAATTGCTAAATAATGAATAAGATTGTCCAAGGAACACCACAACTGTTCCTTCCCACCATTGAAAACAGGCTCTTACATCGCCGTCTACTTTTAGCTCCTTTGTGCCACCACATGCATAAAAGGCCTACACATTTGGTATATGCTTTTCAGCACAACCAAGGGTTCTTTCCATGTAACTTTGCGTTGAATTTTGCAGCCCCTAGGGCCATGGAGAAATGCCGAACCAGGATATAGGTAATATGTCCTACACATGATTGAGGCTATCCGCTGTCCAACAAATACCAGAGGAAGCAGTGGTTGATGTTGATATGTTGAGAGGTTGGCTAATACACATGTGCATATGGGGTGTTGGCTACGGATAGCATGTCATGGGTAGATCATTTACCGATTATCTAATTGACGCATTCATCTATCTTCATATCCCTGCAATACTTAGTACTATAAGGACTCACAATGTGGTAAATTTGTGAGTTCCTTTAGATGAATAGTATTATTAGTATGTAAAGCCAGCCTATTGTTGAACTTTCTTGTATGTGTGTACTTGAGACAAAAATTGATGTTAGCTTAATTCCTTAACTGTGCACCCTGAAACTTGAGTTTATTTTCTGTTTCAAATAAATAAATGTCTGCTTGTTCATTTGTTTTGTCATCTCCTGAAAGTCTTCTAATTAGATAATTTTGGTTTTAAGAAAGGAAATTGTGTCCTTAGATTAATACTCCAGCCTATGTTTGGAGTAGTATTATTAGCATGTAAAGCCAGCTTATTGTTGAACTTTTCTTGTATGTGTGCACTTGAGAAAAAAAATTGCTGTTAGCTCATTTCCTCAACTTAGCACACCGAAACTCAAGTTTATTTGCTGTTTCAAATGAAAAAAATGTGTGCTTGGTCCATTGTTTTGTCATCTCCGGAAAATGTTGTATTTTCTGATTAGATAATTTGGCTCTAATGAAAAGGAAATTGAAATGCAGTGGACTTTTTGGAAGTAGAATAGCTGAATAGCATATGAAATTGCAATATACCTTTTCCAGATACAAACATAAGTTATGAATCATACAGAGAAAAATTGTATGCAAGAAACGGAGAACTCCGATTTCTTATTTAGAAAATGTTAAAAACTGTTGTATCTTGTAGAGAAATATTTGAAGACCCTAAAAATGGTAATAAATGTTGAACTAACAAACGCTCGTGCAAGTAATTGTTGGTAATGTTATTGTTTTGTTTTATTATTAGTTGGGACTGGGTCACATGAAATTTTGTATAAAAGTCTTCTGAAAGGTATATACGAACATGGTCATGTTTTTTTCGCTATATAGCATATATAGTGTGCAGGTTCTTGACTATTTGATCCAAGTACTTTGCCTTACGAATTACTACGTATCTTTTTCCTACAACTTGTGAATACATTTAATGGCATCTAAGATATAAAACTATTCCTTTGTTGATTGCTGGTCAAACCATATGTAATCAACAATGGGTACTACAATCCAAAGTAAATTGGGCTTAACTTGATAACTCGCTATAGTTTTCCCGCTTGAATTTCTATCCAAATGTCCCTTTCTCCGAGAGATTCATCAAATAGAGATTCATCAAATTAAAGTCTCGAAAGAGTAATGCAAAAAGTTATAAGCCTATAGACAAATGGTGAATTTTATATTCTCTCATCACCCGTGCGCAATCAACAGCTTCATCAATGTTATAATACTGATGAAAATTTTTTCGTTAGCCATCCGAAATCTCTTTACCGTGTTTTCATTCCACATGTTTTTGTGTTATTCCACGATATCATGATGCAATTGATTTTTTGCTAATGCCTCTGTATATTGACAAGACTAGATTCTCACCCGCGCGATGCGCGGGATATTAAAATGTAAAAACGACACGACATTATTTTTAAATATTATTTGATTGCGTGAAATGAAAGGAAAATGTCATATACGTAACATGCATAATAATTGTAATTAAAGATGGGATAGTGAAAATTCAGATATAGGTAGCAAGCATGTTTTTGAATAAGCAAAAAAAAGGAAACGTTATATAGGGTTTCACAGCCTACACATTGCGAAAAACTTCTTTATAAACTACATTAGTCGTATGGTCAGTTGGTTGGCCATCTTCATCGCAGATCAATATCTTCAAACCCTTAGGATTTGTTACCCTTGACACTGCAACATACAGCTGACCATGCGTGAAGACCGATTTTTTCAATAAAAGTCCAACATGAGACAATGATTGTCCCTGACTCTTATTTATAGTCATCGCATAAGAGGTCATAACTGGAAATTGTCTTCTCTGAAACTTGAACGGTATTCTTGAATCCGAAGGAGTTAAGCTTAACCTCGGAATGACAACCTCATGCCCAGCATATTTTCCGCCCATAATTTTAGCCCCTAAGATGTGAGTTCCAAGTCTTGTAACAATTAACCTTGTTCCATTGCAAAGCCCCATCGAAGGATCAATATTTCTTAAAAGCATGATCGGAGTACCAACCTTTAGGGTTAACTCATGATTCGGAACTCCAGATGCACGTATTTTGTTGAGAAATTCAGGAGTATGCAAATCAACCAGAAAATCAGAATTCGAGTCTGACTTGCAAATGCTATCTGAGCTTAAATATGTCCTTGACTGTTCATTCACATTCAAAGAAGTCATGTACTCATTGATTGCATCAACAACATCAAGGGTTGGAGCCAAAATTGCACGTTCTTGCAAGTAAGTCGGGTCATTCACAATATTGTCAAAGTTTGGATAGGTGCTCTGGACAATTGTGGCAATGGGGTCGCTTCCGCACTCTATCAGAAACTCCTTTGGAATTTGGACATTGGCAAAACCATCATTATCTTCCCCTGCAGTCCCATCCCCTAAACTCGCAATCCACTTTGCAAACTCAAGTAAATCTTCATATTCACGCTCATCAGTCAATGATTGCAGCCTCATGTTCCTCGTCAAACGTAATACCAAGCATTCATGCCAAATATACGAAGAATTAATCGTGGCATTAACAATGTCTTGTCTAGTACCTTTCATAACAAAATGTGACGATCCACAATTATTACTATTATTGATTATTGATAATATAAGAATAGAAACTATTATCATCAACAACTAAAACGACATTCATAACATTTAAAAATATGAATAATAAATGTTCAACTTTCAATGATTACAAATACCGATTCTTTTGCTAGTTGACGCATTAGACGATCCTGCCTCTTCACGTCGTCGTATAGATGGATTGTGATTAGGATCTGAATTTTCTATTCAATACAAACAACTTATTAAGATTTACAATAAGGTATATAAAGTTAGTCTAGGAGTAATTTATATATATTCTTTGATTTTGACTAAGAATAAAAGGGTTAAAGTTTTTATACAGGCTATATCTTTACACCTGTTTGTTGTAATCTAATAAAAATGCAACATTCACTTTCACAACTTTATCAATGCCAATAATAAATCTGCGCGGGAATAGTATTTTATTTTGAGTAATAATAATTCATATATTAGTAATTATATTATAATAACTTATAATATTTTATTTTGATTATAATAAAATAAAAAAAACTTATATTATTTAAATTGATGATTCATCAATACACATTCCCTTATTAATTTATTATTAAATCATTTTAATTTATGTTATTGAGGTAAATATCAGAAAAATATGTTTCAATGGTTTCGGGAAAAAATCAATCTTAATGATATAACCAATATGTAATAATAATAATAACAATATTAATAATAATATAATAATAATAATAACAATATTAATAATAATATAATAATAATGTTTAATCATTTGTGTGTTATTCTAATACACCCAGCCCATCAGCATAATACATAGCATTCAGCTTATCAGCTTATTAAACCCAGCCCAACAACACAAAGAATAATTAAACCCAGCCCAGCAACCCGTAACCCTAACTATCCAACCCCACCTATATAAATATCCTTTACCCAGCAGATATATCATTAACCCTGCGGCTCATACTACAGACCATCGGCTATTCCGATGGCTGCAAACTCGTTCTCTCTCTACCCTCTCAGCTATTAAGCCACAACCTCTTCACCTCTCAGTGTGATTCCGACGGATATTCCGATGGCTATTCCAACGCCGGTAACCAACATGGAGTAACGATCTAACCATCTCATGCCTACATTTTCGTTCTTCATTTCGGTATTTTCCATGTTCTTTTTATGTATTTGTTTTGAACAAAAGCTGAGTGAAACATAATGATCTCAGACCTATTCTTCTTCACCCCCTCGCACTCTTATCTGATTTGTATAATCAGATTTGTATAATCTGGAAGTTCTATACCATTTTGTTTTATTTTATACAAAAACTTTGCGGATTGTTATAGATATGTCCTTATTTTGTATTTTTTTTAATCTGTTAGTGTATATGATTTTATACAGAAACCGCGTCTTTCACGTACATTCAAACCCTAATTTTTCCGAATTCATGCGATGACAACGAACAACATGAACCCTGAGTGATGATAAACAAAGGATCTCAGATGTATAACGTCTTGTATTCGCATTTATCCTAAATTTTTTGTCGGTTATCTGCGAAGGCTTACAGATATTCCCATTTTCACCGCTTATTCATTTCTGTTTCGTGTTTGCATTTCATTTCAGGAGATAAGATCTATATGTGTTTATAAAAAACATTCGTATGTACAGATACAGTAAGCCTGTGTGATAATACACGATCTCAGATCTTATTGTTACCCTGTTTGAGGTTTTTGACTCCACAGATAAGAGTGGTAAAAAAAACATGTATCTTTAACCATCACAGTGATAAGCCAGGATCTTAGATTTTATTTTTTCTTGTTTTTGATACTTTTACTTAACAGATTTTATTTTGACTGAGTTTTTACCCCCGTGATGATTAAATGTATTTTTTTTTAAACAGATTTTTCGTGTTTAATAATATTGAAATAAAACCTTTAAAATCATATGTAATCCTCAAGCGTTTGCACTGAGGAAAACATATACTTTGATAAAGTGCTCCTCACAGTAAAGAATTTCAAATGAATCCTATTATGACTAATAAAACTAAAATTTTATACCTTTGTTGATCAAGTCATCCAGACATCTTTTACGGTTGATTGTCGTGCTTTTAGTCAGCCTCTTCATTGAAGAGCTGTTATTAAAACGACAATGAAATTTTTTAAGTCCAACTGTTAGAATACTTGAATACTCATATAAGGAAACTGTCATACTTCAATGCTCAAGCTTTGATTTTTTTGTAAATGTATCAAACATGTAGCTGTTTTCTTTCTAAAAATTCTTCCTGGTTGGTTATGCCGTTTACTGGTTGTTAAGGCCCATCCCATAGGACTGCCAGATACCCTGCCAGCCACAATATTGGCCTTCGGAACTGCGTGGTCTGGCAGTCCGTTTACCTAAACATTGGTGACCCCTAATCACTCACAATTCTGAATAGGGTCACATGCATCTCATCTTATCAGTATATGGTGATTTTTGTTAAGCATGTATGAGTTGGAAAAAGTGAATCATTCATAAGACTATTCTGCACCTGTTTTCCTAAAATGCACACGTATTGAAAGCTTAACATTGCATCACATTTCATGCATTACATAGGATACTAACATGGCTCCACTTTTCAACAGATTACACATTGATATTA